TATTACGCTGGAGTCTTGGGAACTTGCTTCCAAACAGCTTAAAGGATCGAAAAGGCTATGAGACCAGGGGATAATCGAAAGCCAATGAAAGCACTGCAAGAACATGAATCGAAGTGCCGATGAAAGCATGGAAAAGGGGAGATAATCGAACAGCCGATGAGATCAGGGGAGCTGTTTAAACATGGCGGAATCAATTCTCATTGATTATCGCGATTTCTCGTCACCAGGTCTCGTCGGTGTCCCTCCGTTGATGGTCTAGTCAATCAGCGACTGTTAAGCTTGTAGCCGCGACTCGTATCAGTATGTGATGACTGGCGAAGTGTTTTCAGAACCGCAGCGATTTTATGTTGAATGCGTTGTGTGCAAGGGTAGCCAGCGTCACTGCACGTTTCAAGTATGGGCGAACGCTGCGATCGCGTCTTCGAATCGGCATTTCTAGACCTATGTTTACTTATCGCTGGGGGACGCCGCAAATTGGTGAAAAAAAGCAAACAACGTGAAATAGATAATCTTAAAGATCGTTCTTTCTGAACAAGGCGGAATGGCAATGACTGGCGGACTGAAATTGTGATGGGGTTCGACCGGTTTTACGTGCTTATTCTCACCCTTGTCTCGCGCTGATTCAATCCCGTCCATCTAGGCAAAGTCGTAGTTTAATTTGACATAGATTGTAAGGCGTGTAGGGTCTGTGTTGAATCCTTGACGAAACTGTAAGACATAATGCCCAAGGCAAGGCGCTTCCCACAAACTTTTCAAAAAGTATCGAACTGCGGGTTAAGACCTTTTGAGACTATTCTGGAGGGCATTGAAAGCCCAAACCGACTGGTACACCCTTATGTTCCTCGCTCGGACGGTCCTTTATTGCTGTCGGTGGTCCGTTTACTCTCTGGCACCGTGAAGAATGGTTGTGTTCGGTGACAATCGGGCAATGCAATATGCCATGAAAGGACCATGGGGCCCTTGATGTTTGAAACATAACCCTGTTAGCACGAATCGTTTGAAATGGAGATAGACTCGGTGTAAATACAGATCTGTGGGTGAAGCTAAAAATAGGATAAATCTTATTATGGCGATTAAAACGGTGGTTCTCTCGGACAGGATAGCTTGATGAATTTTGCTTTCAATTACACGTCAAAAGTGAAAAAAGAATAATCTTATTGCATTATGTGAGTATTTCGGTTTCAAATTGAATCTTTAATGACGTTTTTAATCTTCAATGTTTGATATAAACGTTTATTTTAAAAATTGATAGTTTTTTTCAATTTAACACGTCTTCCTCTTTGGAACATGAAAAAACTGGGACAAATCAAACGTTTTCGTTTAAGGAAAATCGAACATTTTTAGAAGGCAAATAAAGGTTTTCTTATCAAATAAAATACATGCTGACGTGGTTTCAGAGTAACCCTTGCCGTATACAACTTTTGAAATAGCCTTAACATACAGGATTGAGCATAAACACTCTAAACATAATGAAAAAATCAGAACGGGGGAAAATCTAATATTGCACCGAGCGGGGCTCGGGTGCATCTAAGTTTGAATGTGTACTGAAGGGTATAGAAACTTATACCTCTCAGCTGATGTCATATGTTTGATTTTCAATTGATATTATATCCAAGAAACGAGCTGAACTGATGCTCCGGCGACACTCAGAGAACATTTCATCATGATTTTATTTTCAAAAATATAATTTGATTTAAAACTTTAATTTCGCTTAATACACGACTGCTGATTGGCGTCTGTGGCAGGGTATCTTTAAAAGTCATTAAGGTAACTTTTTGGCACACATTTACATTTAAGACATGGTAGGGATCATGTGATGGCAAAATTATGTCTTACTGAAGTCTTTGTAATACCAATATATTTTACCATATTATCAATGAAATTAAATACACATAATAAAATAATAATTAAATTTGTCAAGAGTGTTAATTTCCAATTTCATTATAAACAAGTTCGGTACACTTTCCCTCAGTATATAATTATTTTTTGACGATGAAATTGCAAAATATATTAATGCTTTCTTTCTGTCATCCCTAACCACACACCTAAGAATCGGTGAAACCGTTAGAGGAGTTACCACGACTTGCACCTATCAGATCATTTAGGGTTAATGAAGGAGGAAAGGGTTCTGGAGCGAGTGAGTGAGTGAATTGGGTTTACGCCGTTTTTCTCTCACTATTCTAACAGTTCCAATACACAGAATGGACGTCTATTGTATTATAGCAAAACGTAATGGACGTCACTCGTACCCAGGTTGGGAAGCGAACCCGGCCCCTCGAGTTTATTAACGAACGATTTATCCACTAGGCTACCCATCAGCTCGTGAATGTCATGAGACCCGTGAAGATCCTCGTTAGAATTGATCTTCAGCAACCCATGCTTGTCATAAGAGGCGACTAACGGGATCTGGTGGTCAGGCTCGCTGACTTGGTTGACGCATGTCATCGTATCCAAATTGCGTAGATCGATGCTCATGATGTCATTCACTGGATTGTCTGGCCCAGACACGATTATTTACAGACCGCCGACATATAGTTGGAATATTGTTGGGTGCGGCGTAAAACTAAACTCACTCACTTGTCAATGTGGAGAACTGTAATACCCCAGCCATAGACCATTTCGAGCAAAAGCCACTATTATATGAAATAGGTTTGGAGTTTCTATATCTAACAGTCGAATTCCGTTATCTCGAACCTAGCGCACCCTATAGACTAAACTTCAATCGCAGCTGATTGGCTGTTTTTATCACCATGGCAACACCACACCAGGTCCATTGCGTGCAGCAACCAAAGTTTGCATCACTGGACACCCTCAGCAAAAAATGAAAATGAGTAGCACAAAATAAAGAGAAAATAATCACTAGCAATTGTAGTTCCAAATTCTATAATACTTCCTGTCTTTAATGACAATTTTCTGTTGCTATGGGATACTTCATAAAATCACCTTTAGAAATCTATCCTTTCCGCCTGGGCGACTAGGAACGACCTCAGTGGCAGGATGATGACCCCAGCGAGGTGGTATAACGGCACATTACGTCCACAATGTGTAACTATGTACGGCTTTTTAGGGTCGGCCACTGCAGACTTAGAACGTGTTAGTACGGAAGTGGGCGGGTTTGAAATATTTATCACGTCTTTCGAAAAGTCAATTTAAAACTGCAAGAAGTCCTAACCGACAGTTAATTGATAAATAGGCTGAAGACGAAGCGAATCTGGATTGTTTTTATTTTTGATGACATAACATAAAAGTGATAAATTAATTTTAAAAAGAAAACAAACAAACTCTCCTGGGTGTAGTTTTGTGCTCACTTAATGTTTGCATTTCATTACTGGTCACGCGAAAGTCAGTCTATATGTGTCATAACGGATCTGTGATATTCGGGGGAAGGTGTACCATGATGGTTAAAGCGTTGGACGGCCACACAGTGCTCTCTTCCATGAGTGAGTAAGTGAGCGAATTTAATTTTACACCGCTTTTAGCAATATTCCAGCAATATCACGGCGGGGGACACCAGAAATGGGCTTCACACATTGTACCCATGTGGGGAGTCGAACCCGGGTCTTCAGCAGGACGAGCCAACGCTTTAACCACTAGGCTACCCCACCGCCCCTCGTCCATGATGTCGTCGTATCATTGAAACATTGCGACGTAATTCGTCGTTTAAAGTAATAGCAAATTGGAGTACCGATCAGGGGGTTTTGCAGCGTTGTTTTCAGCCGCTGTTGGTTTGTTGGTTAGTTGTTTAATGCCGCGTTCAGCAATATTCTAGCTATATGGCGGCGGTCTGTAAATAATCCAGTGGTCAAGAGCATGAGCATCGATCAACGCAGTTGGGGATACGATGACATGTGCCAACCAAGTCAGCGAGCCTGACAACCCGTTAGTAGCCTCTTACGACAAGCATGGGTTACTGAAGATCAATTCAAACCCGGATCTTGGTTCAGCCTCTGTTAGGAATTATTGAGCAATATCACGACAGGGGACCGCATAACGGGGTTGTCGAACCTGGGAGAACAGGTTTACCATTAAAATACTCCACCAACCCCCAGAATGGATGAACGACGTTGGGATAGATGTGTAACTTGGTGAATGCTGTGTAACGCCGCAGTAGTCAAGATTCAAGCTATAGCTAAGTGCCTCGTTCATGATCGGGGGCGATGGGGTAACCTAGTGGTTACAGCGTTCGCTCGTCATGCCAAAAACCCGGGTTCGATTCCCCACATGGTTACAATGTGTGAAGCCCATTTCTGGTGTCTGCCGCCGTGATGTTGGTGAAATATTGCTAAAAGCGGCGTAAAACCATGATCGGGGCGGTGGGGTAGCCTATTGGATAAAGCGTTGGCTCGTCACGCCGAAGACCCGGGTTCGAATCCCCACGTGGGTACAATGTGTGAAGCCCATTTCTGGTGTCCCCCGCCGTGATGTTGCTGGAATATTGCTAAAAGCGGCGTAAAAACCAAACTCAGTCAGTCAGTACATGATCGAGACTGGACTATTGGGTGACAGCATGAGCACAACTTCAGGGTACACGTGATACACATATTGCATACACAACGAACTTCGTCAAGCATATCTAGTACATGATTGGTCGTCGTGTGCAACAAAGGGATCCTCCTGTACAGAACCTGGCACAATTGGAAGCTGCTTTACACGAGGAATGGCGTAGACTGCCCCTTCAGAGGATCAGGAGGCTGACAGGGGTATGAGGAGGAGAGTGCTGGCTGTCATATAGTCCCATGAAGGTTATACATACTTGATCTTAAATCGACACGCAAAATGGCACTTTGACTGTTCACATTCACCAATAAATTCAACATTAAACATTCCAAGGCCATACTTATACAGACATGGTTTTGTATGAAAATCAGTGTTTTTATAAAATGAGCAACTATCATCATAAAATCAACATGGATTCCAATCGTTGTCGGTTTTTTTATGAGTCAAAGGATCACACGGGTCAGACAAACGTCACCACGAGAGCTTTAGAAATTCTACCCACACTGTTCACTGACTTTCTCAACCAATAGCCCCGGCAAGGGCGCCTAGCCACCGGCTCCTCGGGCTCCGGCCCCCCTCAAACAGCAAGTATAACTTGCCTCCTGTAATTATATCTATTTAATTCATAAACTGTAAATACTAAATCTCATCAATCATTTTGTAAATACTTTATCTTTGTCTTTCACCTTATATGTTTATTTTGTGTATTCTGTATATAGTACATGTAACACTCCACCCACACCCACTGCCCCCTCCCCAACTTTCAAACCCTTCCCCCTTCACCGCTTCACCAAAACCCCGGTCACTCCACCCAAAAATCCACTACATCTGCCCACAAAACAAATCTCACACTCACCCCACAAAAAATAAACCACAATTTAAACCTCATTATTGAATTCATCACTGCAGCAATACTCATGAACAATCCCACAGCCAAAAAATTACATAACATTGCACGCAGAAACAAAATATATCACAAGAGTCTAGCTAGTCTCATCATAGCAGTTAAATCCCTCTCATAAAACAACCCACCACTAAGCTACCCTAGCACTTCAACCCTCTCTTCAAAATTTCTGCCCCATCCATGGCTTATTATAATATCATATTCCAAATTACCGCAGTCATGGCTCTGATACAATGGAATTGTAACGGCCTCCGAGCAAACGGGCATGAGCTTAAGGCACTCATCGCCCAAAACAAAATTTCGCCCCAAATAATATTCTTACAAGAAACAAAACTTTCACCAAAATTCGCCTTCAAAATCCCAGGCTACAATTATATCAGGAAGGATAGACCCCGGCCAATAAATCTCCCAGGTCCGCCAGCAGGGGGACTGGGAATATTCATTTCAAATAAACTCAATTATTCAGAAATTGACATTCAAACTACTAACTTAGAAGTCCTGGCAATAAAAACTACAATAAATAATAAACTATTAACTTTCATAAATACCTACAGAAGACCCTCTATTAAACTTATACCCCAAGATTTAGACAATATCGCAAAATTCTTAACGCCCAACACCTTTATCCTCGGGGACCTAAATTCTCACCATCCATTATGGGGCACAAAACCCTATATTGATAATAACGGTTTTCTTCTAACTAACTGGCTAGACGACCACAACCTCGTCACACTAAACGACAATCAACCCACCAGATACCCTCTCTCCCACGCCCAATCTCCAACTGCAATAGATCTTACAATCACCACCCCCACATACTCAAAAGCTTGCCTATGGGAGGTACATGCAGACACATGGGGCAGTGATGGGGCAGTGACCACTGCCCCATAAAAATCACCATATCTTCACTTCTTACACCAGAATCACATACAAACCCCCAAACTACCCCCACTTCTAGCGCCGAAATCAAATACAATATACACAAAGCAGACTGGAACAAATTCACCAAACTCTGCAATCAAATTGACCCATCAAACATTATAAACACCGACACAGAAACTTTTAATTCACAACTCACAAACACCATCATCAATATAACAAATACATGCATACCCACATTTCGGACCACTCAAGCACAAAAAACAGTCCCATGGTGGAACCAAGACATAATTAACGCCAGAAAGGCAAGAAAAAAGGCCCTTAATAAATCAAAGAGGGACCGTTCGAAATTACATTTAGCTAAAAAACTCAGAAATAATACAAAACAATTAATCAAGGCAGCAAAAAAGGAACATTGGAGAAAATTTTGCTCAACCCTCAGGCTAAATCAACATAACTCTAGAAAAATTTAAAGCCATACAGGGAAATTCCAAATCCAATATTCAACCTAACCTTCCGAACCTCCCCACAAACAAAGATAAAGCTAATGCTGTTGCTGCCCACTTCTCGGACACTAGCAGCTCCACCAACTACACAGCTAACTTCCAAAACACCATTAAAAATCACCCACCCTACTCACCTGAACCACCCCACTCACATCTACCTATAAACAAAAACATAAACATACACGAACTTAAGGCAGCCTTAAAACATAAAAAAACAGCCTCAGCCCCTGGTCCAGATAACATTACATACACCATACTAAACAAACTTCCACCAAACATCCTAAACTTAACACTCACCCTATTCAACCATATCTGGACCACAGGAAACATACCATCTTCATGGAAAACAGCCAAGGTGGTACCAATCCTAAAGCCAGGGAAACCCATAAACTCCCCAGATTCATTTCGACCCATTTCCCTTACCTCACACCTATGTAAAACACTAGAGTCTATAATAAACAATAGACTAAAACACCAAATTCATACCCATAACCTAATTAAGCTTGGGACCAGAGTGGCTTCACTCCAAATAGGCAAACTTTGGATCACATTTTACATTTGGAACATGATATAAAGGTAGCCCAAGCACAAAAACAATACACGCTGGCCATTTTTATAGATTTCAGCAAAGCTTTCGACATGATCTGGCACAACGGCCTAATACAAAAACTACAAAAAAATGCCATACACGGGCGGATTCTAAATTTCATTCAAGCATTCCTTAATAACAGACAAATAATAGTCAAATCTCACAACACTGTCTCGGACCCTTTCCCACTAGAAAATGGAACCCTCCAGGGGAGCATAATTTCCCCAACACTATTCAATTTTATGATAAATGACATTTTTCCGGACAAGTGGCCAGAAATTTCTACTGCAAAATTTGCTGATGACATTTCATTTTGGACATCATCTACTTCAGGAAAACAAGCCACAATCAAAACTCAAAGAATGCTAAACCACATCCAAAACTGGGCCCAGAAATGGGGGTTCCATATTAACGTCAAAAAAACCGTGGGCATCCTATTCAAAAAACAAAGAATGCAAAATTATACACCCAAACTTCATCTCAACAACCAAGAAATCAAGTTCGAAAAAGAGACAAAATTCCTAGGTGTAACTTTCGACCAACACATGACATGGACACCCCACATTAATAACCTGGTCAACTCATGCCAAAAAGATTTAAATCTCATGCGAGCCATCAGCGGCACAAACTGGGGTGCCGACAAACAAACACTTATTAGTATATACAAAACTCTTATACAGTCTAGACTGGACTATGCTGCTCCGGTCCTCCACTCTATCTCCCCAACCAACCTCCAAAAACTAAATTCAATACAGTATAAAGCCCTTAAACAAGCCCTAGGCACTAGGACTGGTACCTCCCACAACACTCTTCTCTTACTCACAGGCATCCCTTCAATCAAAACACGAATAAATCAAACCGAATTCAATTACTGGGCTGGGGCCCAACACAACCCAATCTACAAACTTATCACAACTAAATACACAAACATTAAAAATCTACTATCAAAAATTTAAAACAACCCAAACAAAGCCCCCTACTCACTCACCCTCAACAGTCTGCTTCCACTCACACCATCTAAACACCATCCAACACACACCTCCCATAACAAGCTACATTCATGACAAACCCCACCCCCTACAGATATGACCCTAGTAGAAACACTCCAAAATCTCCTAAACCCACAGACACTCAAAACCAAAACAAACCTCATCCAAACCCACATCAACCTAAATTATCCCAACCATACCCAGATTTATACAGACGCCTCAATCGGCACAAACAAACGCATAGGCATAGGCATCCATGTAAAACCAAACACCCCCTAACAACAAACCCCCACTATACAAACCACACAAACATCAACACAGCAGAACTCACAGCAATCTCATCAGCACTTCACCTCATCCCCACTATGCCCCACACCAACATCCTATTACTTACAGACTCTCTCAGCGCCATCAAACAACTTCAACACAAGCACTCAAAAGCACGAAACGACTTAATACACAACATAATTATACAAACCGACTCACTCCAACAACTAAATAAAAACATAACACTAATGTGGATTCCAGCTCACACACACAACCAAGGAAATAACACAGCAGACATAGCAGCCAAACTAGCCACCACACAAAACTCTCCACCCATTAAATTTCATACATCCAAAACCGAAATAAAACAACTCATCAAACACCACATAATCAACCAAAACTACCAACACAACCTTAACACAAACAAATCCACCTGGGTCAAAGCAATCATAACTAAACCTATCACCAAAACACTCACCTACTCAAGCAACAAACACATGGACACACTCATTACAAGATTAATCACTGGCATCACAAACTTAAATCATCCATTATTCAAACAAAACAGACACCCAGATGGATTATGTACACATTGCAATCAACCTGGAAACCATTGAACACATATTCACAAACTGCCACCTCCAACAAACAAACATCACACAACTACACACAAGCATTCCAACTAAATATCACAACAACATACAGCTACTTTTAAATCCTTTAACCCGTCAAATGTATTCCATGCCATAGCCACCTTTATCAAACTCAAATATAATAAATAAAATTTAGATCCTCCCAAACAATCCTCAACATACTACCTCTCAATAGCCTATATATTTAGACCAGGCACCCAAAATCTCACTTCTCTATACTCATACCCTACCACCAACATAAGCCTGCTCATTTAGACCTGGGAAACAAATTCATTTATTTATAGTTGTCTTATTTCCGCTAAAGGTCCGCGCCTCTCCCAGCCAATCAGCAACCACTAAAGCGTAAACAAACCTAGCTCCAGCCCTCATGTACAAAGGTCACGACCTCAGCCCCAAGCCAGTTCACAAACAGTTCTTTACCACACACACGGCCTTTGCCTTATCGTCCCCTCACCCCCTACCCCCCCCCCGTTTCAACCCATTTTTTCTTTCCTTATTAGGCCCCTATATTAAATAACTACAGCATAACTGTATCACCACATCATATCCCCCAATATGCTATACACTCATTCTACACTCCTCCCACCCCACCCCCCACCCCGTCACCCCCCTCACCCAACTTTAACTACCCCGTATTTATTCCAACTCCTCTTATTAATGTAACCGGAGTGGTTTGGTATATACCACAAAGGCAAATAGTTTTTTGTAGATGTCAGTTTAATGGCAATAACTGAAGAAGGCCCTGTAAAAGAATAAATACATTGCATCAAAATACGTTACAATACTTCATGGGCCAATACATGTGAGGCTTAGCAAT